AATCTCATTATGAATAATGTAATAAGTTGTTTCTACGGAATCCGAAAATGTTATTTAAACAAGCATATTCGTTAGTCCTGGTCGTGTATAGTAATGTCGCAGTTTTTCCGAGCGGGATAATTTTTACGAGGTAACGTGATCTGTTCTCTACGGATCCGAAAAAAAAAAAAATAAAATAGTTACACTCATTTTACGCGAATAAAAGAATTCGTTCGCAGCGATTTTTTTTTATTCGAAATTCGATAGGTTTTCGATTCATATTATATCCGGGATATTTTTACGATTGGCCGTATGGTGCTGTGTATTTGTGCATTTCTTATTAGATTTGTCGTTCGGAAGCGAACGGCGATGTAATATCGTATAATGTCATTAATATTATTACAATATTTGTATTATATTTATACAAGTACCGCGTACAATAGGACGAAAATGATGACTAAGTGTGTGTACAATGAACATAATATTTCATACGTATTATTAGATTTGGAGCGTAGCGATGGTTTCGGGTAAAAATATCCCCGGTCATAATATCTCCGACAAAATATCTCCAGTTAAGAATATCTTCAGTCAGAAATATCTCCGATAAAAAATATTTCCGATACAAAATATATCCAGTAAAAATATCTTTGGTAAAAAATATCTCTAATGGAAATCTCGTGTAGACAAAATGTCTCTAAAAAAAATCTCTAGGATTTATGTGAATATTTTTCATTACCTATTAATTTTAGACTGTGAGCAATACCTCTTAAAAAAAAAAAAATAAAATAAAATTTCGTTTGAACAAAAATTAAATAAATATTTAAAAAAAAAATTAAATTTAGCGAGTCAACTGGCTTGAGCATCATAATTAAATCTTGCAGTATTCGTATCACATGTCTAAGCCTAGCATTGAAACTCGTAATCGTGAAAAATATATCAGAAACTACTATACAATGCTAATATTGTGATCAGTTATTATTTCCTTTGGAATATTTCCATTAAAGATATTTTTATAGGAGATATTTTTGCTGAGATATTTTGTCCGGTCACCGTAGCGATGAGGGGGAACTATTGGTTTTTCCTTTCTTGGTTAATTGATATGTGTGTTTTATATTTTTTTTTTTTTTTGTATCTGTGTGCCCCTTTTTCACCTTTTCTGAAAGGACATAAAATCTACTTGGAGTATTGAGGAAGTAATTTTTTGATGTTCTAAGTAGTTTTCGTAGTAATTAGGTAAAACCGAAAAACATAGAGAATGAACAGGAAAATTTATCAAAGTAATGGTTTAATTTTTTTTTTTTTATTATAGTTTAGTTTAAAGTTTTCGTAGAGACTTAACATTTTAAAAGAAGATTCACATTTACTTTTTCTAGACGTAGTAAAATTGTAAAAAATACTCCAGCTTTTTCTGAGCTGTTTATTTACATTTTGCGAGATGTCTATGCAATTTTTATTTGGTACAGGTACTTGTGGATAAATTCGTTAGACTAAACAAAAATGCTTGAAAATTTATTAGGAGGTTGATTATAATTCGTAATTTGTGGTAGGTAAAACAAAATTGGGTGCATTGAATTATTTTTTTTTTTTATAAAAGAGTTTTAATATCAAATTTTGACGAATACCGTAAATATTATGGCCTTTTAAAATACGTATAACCTAATTTCGTTCTGAATCGTTTTTCGTTAGCAGTAGTTTGTCGTTGCTTACAGATTTAAATTAAACAAGTTTATATATCCTACATTCTGCTTTCCCACCTACAATAGTGGCACACTTGTTTCCAGTTTTTTTTTTTTTTTTTTATTTATTTTTTATTCTATTCAAAATATACAATATTGTAAACAATATGATATACAGTTTTGATGCGAATGCAATGCTATACCATTGTTTCATTCGATATTTTCAAGTATTTTTTTCTAATAATTATCAATAGGTATACGCGCGTTAACTATACAACTACACAATAAGAATGTTAAAATATTTTTTTGTTCAGGGCTCGCTAAAAAAAAAAAAAAAAAAATAAATAAATAAATAATAGCTACGGACCACTTCGAAACTGCGCCTACCTCGAAATGAAATGTGCAATCTCGATTTGAATATTTTAAATCCTAGGAAACGCATAAATCGTATTAAATTGACGTTTCGCGTACCTTTTTACCTACCTGCTACCCACGGTATGCGAACGAATTATAATTTATCGTCAATAATATCGATAACGATTATTGCTGTGGTAACATTATTATGTTTATACATTATAATATACATGCGGTCAAAATATTTCGATCGGCTTATGAACCAAAAAACAATTGTCTTGTCGTATTGATTGAAAAACCGAATCAACATTGTGTTTAAATTTAGTACAGGTGATAACGGGCACGGGTAAACGATGAGATTAAGTTATGAAAAATAGGCCGCGGGAAAAAATTACCATTAAATTCGAGAACATTTTTTGTTACGCGTCGGCGTGAAAACACGCTCTGTCAAACCTTGCAACGCGAGAACGATCCAGGCCTTCCGATCAATAGTTTCCCGCCGTAGTATTATCGTCTAGCACCGCTCCCCGGTCCGTTAACTATAATAATAATCATCTCCGCAATGACTTGAAAATTCCGACGCCAAGTTCGACTAATCAAACCGTACCCCACCTTTCGTTTCGTTCGAAATTAATCCGCCGTCAAAACCGTTTTATATTAATCGACTATCATCCCGCTCGGTCCACGGCGACCAGCCGAGACGTCGCGAACGGGCCCGGGCTAGGGATTTACCGACCCGGGCGCTACCGGGGCGACGTTACCGGGCGCCTTCCCCGATGATTCCGCTATCCCCGTCCTTAACAATACCATTAGTTTGTATTCTCATCAATGCTCGCACCGTGCGTAATGTTATTTCGCGCGGATTTCAATAAGTAAACGGATTGTTAATAAAAACAACGTATAAATAACATATTCACCTTGGTCTCGGGGATCGTTTTCGTTTGACTTTCCGACGCACGCACGCCGGTACAAACAATACGGTTAGCGATATTACGACGATATTCGGTCGACGATCAAATCTGCGGGCGAGTAGAAAATTTGTTCGCAACGGGACGGGGGGGTAATTTAGTTACGCGAGTTTTCGAAGAATTAATTCGGGCCCGTGCAATTATCATTTCGCATATTGTGTTGTAAAGCGCAAACGAAACGTTAAAATATTACGAAAACTCAATAATAACGAATACTTCTCTCCAACTCCCTTAACCCCCCCCCCCCCCCCCCNCCCCCCCCCTCCCCTTCCTAATACCCCGCACACAAGCACCTGCATCGTAATATACCCGCGTGCGGCTCGCCAAAATACTCGGCAGTTTAAACGACGGCGTTCGACAAATGCTCAAAGCGAACAGTATTATTTTCTTCCGCGTCAAACGTAATGCGGCCAAGTGTATCGATAACGGGGTTACTGCAGTTATTACGATATTTCGCCAAGTTCATCTTTCGAATGCACATTTATTTGCACATTATGTATATACGCGCGTATAATATTACCGGTGTAAGTAGGTGCAGTACAATAGGAATTCGTGTACTCTTTCTTTGTACGACATCGGCGTGCACATCGAGTGGGGTAGGTATTATATTATGCAATTATTATATATTTTTCATTTTTTTATTTATACCTTTTTTTTACTTTTTTTTTTTGTTCAAAGAATCGTACGCGTTTTATTAAATACTGCACGTTTACATGTTCTTGTTATACTCGTGCATAGGCGTATAACAATAATAATAATAATAACAATAATAACGACTGTACCTACTCGACCGACGATATTTCGATTCAACTCCGAACGATAAGCTGTATTACAGTATTATATTTTTTTTTTATATATATATATATATATATGTTTTTTATTTTTTATCGATTCAACCGTTGTTGTTGTTGTTGTTGTTGTTATTATTATTATTATTATCGCTATATACATATTACCCCGCGCAGTATGTATTTAGTCTTTAAAAAAATTACGGGCGTTTTTTTTTTTTTTCCCGCTGACCACGCTTGTTTCTTCCCTCACCACTTACCACTTTCCCGCCGTACGCCTTGCTTATAAAATATATGAGTATGTATATTATCTAACAGAAAAAAAAATAAAAAAAAAAAAAAAAAATACATAAAACTATATTTTTTTCTTCCGTTCTCTTGCGTCTTCCGAATTCCCCACCCATGCGTATTGTAATGGGTTACGCGCGCGGCCATTTGTATCCGCGGGTTCGTGTGCGCAGTTGAGCCGCTTATACACACAGCACGCAGAGCATTATTCTCGGAATTTATATCCGTCTCCTCTCGGCGTTATACAAATATCGAATCGCGATTATCGGCGGCTCTTTTGGACCTTTACGGGCGACTGTGTCTAAACCGCGGCGTTTTTGTAAAGGATCTCTCACGCAGAGCCGGATTTAAATGTTATGGGGCCCGGGGAAAATAGTACCTGGACGTCCCGGCGAGCGGTCCAATGATATGACGAACATTACACCCAAGTTTTATATTGTTTTTTTTTTTTTGACTACCAAGTGTGACTCATTCTGAACTTCCTATTAAATTTTCAGTAATTTCTAATCGGTCTAACGATTTAATCCACTAAAATGTTTTGAACATTTTACCATGTCTAGAAAATATAAGTTTTTTAGCCAAATTTCAAGTCCCCGTAAATATTTTAACTGAATCATAATGATAATAAAAAAAATAAGAAAAATTGAAAATAGTACATTTCGTAAATTTTCCCGTTTATTCCCAGTTTTTCCCAATTATTATGAATTGCACAGCAAGGAAATGAAAAAAATACTAACTAGATACATTTTCCTTCGTACTAAAAACGTACTACACTTGAAAATAAGAGCAAGATTTCGGTAAAAATGTTGTTTACAGATAAAAAAAAAAAAAATAAAACATATATTATTGTAAAATCAATATATTCCTCGCTTCGCTGAAAATCCAAAATAATATGTAAACAAAAAAATCAAATTTTGTGAAATTAATATTTTTTTTTTAAAACCATCGAAATAAGCAAAACAAAGATGCAGTTTTAAATTGTATATACTTGAACTCGTAACATGGCGTACATTTCCATAGCACTTCGCTGGATTCAATTTCATGTTAAACAAATAAGCAAATGCTACAAGTTTCGAACCCCGATTATCATCGTAGGTATTGTGATATTTTATCGATTTTGAAATAATTTTACCTTTGCCCACGTACATTGAACAAATGGTCTCGTTGATAAAACACTTTAACGACTTAAGAGGCGTAACCATAAGTGGCGTGAATGGGCATCCTATGTGAAGCAGCTGCTTCGTGACCAAATTAAGTGATTTGCTGGGCGGATGTATAATATACATTGTATACGTACAGTTTATAGCATTTTATCATACAATATGTTAACGAACAACGTAGAGTACGTACCAGAATCAGACACGTCTAATATAGTCACTTAGTTACAGCTTCTGATTCTTCTGGGCTTGGGTTGTATGGACAGTTTCACTGAAATTACTTTGTTACGGAAAAAAATTCCACGCTACCGCTGGATGCAACAGTATTTTTGAAATTTAATGTGTGAGAGTTTGAAGGCTTTCATTGTTAAATATAGCTACGAATGTATTTATAATATATGGTCGATGTGACTGTTTATAGTTTACACGTCATCTTGTTCAAAAGCCCGTTTTCTTCGCGACATGTTTTTGGTAACACATCTTAAACTTTAGATAATTAATTATACTGAATTGCAGAGTAATTAATTGTACTTATTTGAGAATGTTGTTATTCTATTACAGTTTTTATATTCGATGAGTGAATAGAGTCGGTCGCTGTTTTTTACAATTCCAATAAACGATATTGGTGTGGTGTCTATCGGTTACGCAGTTACAGTTCTCAAACCGTAAAATAAATTTAAAACGCCCCCCTGCCTTTTTAATGATTTGGGGCCCAGAAGCTGATGCTGTCCGTGTTAAATCCAGCTCTATCCACATGTTGTGTTTTATTATCATTTCTGCCGAACAATTAAGGTCTCTTCTCCGTTTTTCGAGCTAGCTTGAACATTGATGCTTATCTTTTTTGTTGTTGTTGTGAAAAGCGTTTAGGCGTTCATATAATAATGTAATATCGGTGGGCGTGTAGGTGTCTGAAAGACTATAATACGATACGAACGATTCGGCTTATCTTTAAGATAGGTATTGTGTTTTTATATATTTTTTTCATTTTGTTTGGCGAGATCGGAATGAAACGAAAATAAACCAATATAGATATGACGTAATAACATTATGGCGGATCTACACAAACGCTTGAAATACACGCCCATCGAATACCATAATAATCGTATTGTATAGTAATAGTCGATAAAAAAATCGGTTCAGTAGTTTTTGAATAAGGTACCTTATTTATATACCTATATATGTACCTATCTATATCTGTCTCGGAACATCAGACAATCATTCAAAGACAAAGTCACGTTTTAAATGATATTAGGTTTTTTTTTATTGAATCACAAGTAGAATTTGAAGTGTATAAATTTAATTTAATCACGGCGGTGTGGTAGATGCTACAGAAACTTCAGTCGATTTTTATCGCTTTCATCTGTACGCGTCAAAGATGATCAGAGAAATTAATAATAATTATTAATTCAAAACCAAAATGTTGTTGTTACTGTCCAAATCGTTTAGATAAATATTTTGTGTGAAATCCGTCACGGTTATTTATTTACTTTATGATACAGCAACACTAGTGCCATACGTATTGCGAATTTCAACGGTTGGCACTTTAAAATTTATCCGGTACGTCCAGTGGCGAAATATTAAATTTGAAAATTGTTTCAAACTGCATAATGTGTATCCGCAGGCTAAAAATAAAAGATAAAGTTTAGGTTTAATAAATTCAGAACACTTTAATCTCCCGTTGTGTCCGTTCGTCTATATAGTTACGGTTGTTGATTTGGTCGACAAGAGGAAATCCACACACACAAGTATATAATATACATATATATATATTTTAAATATATTCGCAGCATTTTCATTCATATATTGCATTATTATCATTTTATATTTAAATACGAGTATTAAACATGAAATCATACAAGAACCAAAATTAGAAAAATAAAAACCAGAATATAAATACATTAAGAATTTTAAAATTTACTGTCAACTATTTACGAAATAAGTTATGTAGTTTAGTCTACACATAATAATATACTAGGTTATCGAATTCGTTTAAAATATTGTAAACGGAATTCCAGTTTATTGTTCCAAAAATTAAAACACGTTTAAAACCCAGGAATTTTGCAGCGGCGTTGAGTGATCTTTCTAAACTTGTTTAGTTTATATATTTATGTATGCAATTTACAATTGAACTTACCTTGAATCTATCATTGAAATCAAATAATTACGTAAGCAATTATCATCAATTAATTTACTATTCAACTTACTAATCCGAGCTCCATCATATTATTGTATAGTTCGTTTTAAACAAGAAAACGCATGTATTCAGGTGATTTTGTATTTTTTATGTACTAACTAGATAGGCATCAACACATTAGATAGTTGATGTTTCTGACTTAAAAGAAAAAAAAAATTGAATTTAAAAAAAAAAATAGGTAGTTGTATAAATAAGTACGTTTGAACATAAATTTTTACACCTCAATTGTTTACGTAATTATTATAAAACAATAATATTATTTCGTAGATCTTTAATATTGTTATATTATTTTAAGTAGATATTATAGAATTGCTAGAGATATCAATTTTCTACCCGGTCCGGTCTAACAATTTTATTTTTAAACCGGTCGGATCCGGTTTAAAAAAAAACATAAGAAAGACCAGGCCCGACCCGAAAATAATGCTAAGCTTATTAAAAAGCCCGGTCTAATCTGGCCTCTAAAACTTCCGTGTAAAAAAAGCCTAAGCCCGACCCATGGATATTTATTTGAAGCCTGGTCCGATCCGGTTCAAAATATTTGTTGTAAAAGAAGCCTGGGACCAGCCTAAATATAATGGTTTTTTTTAAAAAAGCCCGGTTCGGTCCGATGACATTTTTTTAGCTTGGTTCAGTCGATGACATGTCTTTAAAGTCCGATCCGATCCGATCCAAAATATTTTGTTAAATAAAGCCCAGGCCCAGTACAATGATAATGATTATCTCTTAAAAAGTGTTGATTTAGTAGCCGATTTTTTTTTTTAATGCCTTATTATAAAACTTAATAATTATTACGCAATATTTATATCCCTTAATTAAATACTACATAGTCAATAGTAAATTACATAGTAAATATTATCGTTTTTATTTTAATACATTTTGAAACACCAAATCAAAAAAAAAAAAAATAATAATCCAGATCTGGCTCTTCATGAAATTCCATGACTTAAATAAGCCTGGTCCTCCCTGAGGACATTTTTTTTAAGATCTGGTTCAAAAATAAAGTCCAGACCCTGTTTTGTGTTTCTAAGGCGCTGGTCCGGTCCATTTTATTACGGGCTGAGCTTTTAGAGGACCGGCCCTTGCAGGTTTTTGGTAGGTACCTATGTACAATAAAATAGGAGTGATGATTTTTATCGGGGAAAAAATATATCGCCGTCGTATTTTTCGTCTCGTGTTTTTGTCAAATTGTGCTGGAGTCACAGTTTTGTGTACAATTTTATGGTAAACCGTCTAATTAAATGACATTTTGTTTTTGAAATTAATTCGACAGAAAACTTTATAATCGAGTATTATTGAATAATGCGACGTATATAAACATTGTGAGACAACATCGTCAACAATTTATACACTCCCATGATTCTGAAAAATATAAGAACGCGATATGTCATGTCTTTTTTTGTTTAATGATACTCACATAAATCGTTAAATACGCTTAATGAAATATTTTTTATTATTTTATCAAAACTGATTAAAAAAAAAAAAACAAAAACAAACGAGTGGTTAATGATTGAAAAACATTCGACAGGTATTTTAAAATTAAAATTAAAAATAATGATAATAATTTAAAATTATAATAAATTATGACTTCTTCTCGTAACATGAAAAATATTATAAAATATGTTAAGTATGGTAAATGTTCTCTAATCCTTGAAATAATCTCAAATATGCAAACAAATAAAAAAAAAAAAGTTTTTCTTGTGAACTCGTGTTGAATGAATCGTCCACATTTTTACTCTCGTAAAACTGCTTATAAATTATAATCAGTAATGACATACAGTACAAACATAACAATCTGGGCTCTACTCATTTATATTCAGTATAAGGAAAAGATAATTATTAATTAAAAACGCATACAGATAAAGGTAAAAGATAATTGACCAGAATTAATCTAAATACAAATAAAGACAAAAAAAAAAAAAAAAAGAAATATTTTGCATTTCAATAATTTACGCATGTACATTTTTTCATCAATTATTTATATTTTAAAAATAAAAATAAACAATTAGCAATTATTATGCTATTATCTGATGTTTACTTTTATAAACTGGGTTTTCAATTTGATTTAAAATTAAATATTAGTGAAGTATACATTTTAGCTTCGTGGTTTATTTGATATTAATAAATGTATTTTATAAAAAGCTAGCCATTACCTAATGATCGTAATTAACGTTAAACATTTGAAAGGGAGAAAACAAAAATCCGTGCAACTTCGCGCGTGGGTGCAGCCACTGTTATAGGTGAGTAGTTGTGATGGTAAAAAAGGTAGAGGAAGGCAGAGGGGAAATTTAATGTGTATCAGTAAGCAACGATAAACAATTGCTAACGAAAAAATGATTCTGAGCGAGTTTAGTTGACAGTGTTGCTCTGTCAACAATAAATATATATGCTGCCATATTATTGTGAAATAACTACATGAACATTTTATATTTTCTTTAATAATGTTTGTTCAATATTGTACCTATTTTTCCATTTTTCCTACGGTTTTCCCGGATTTTCTACGTTTGTTTCGGTTTTTCTAATATGTTGGAAAATCTCCAGGGAAAATCGAAAAATTATCTAATCGAAGTACCTTCTCAGTTAGATTTCCATTCAGAAAAAGTGCTATCATTGTTAATTCGGAGCGTAGATATCTGGTAGATAAGTTGTCTGCAGAAAAAAATAAATGAAAATAAACATCTTTGTAAAACCATAAGCTTCTTCGCTCCATTTAGAACCTAAAATAAATACATTGTGTTTGTTATGATACGTTTTAAGCAATTCACTACCTGCAAAATACAATCAACCACAGGCGTTCGATGGTGATAGCGAATCGGACATGTCGACAGTGCGCGTCTGCACTATCAGTCGCAACACTATCGATAAT